AATCTTTACTCCACTTACACACAAAAGACTGGCTGGTGTTAGAAGAATGGAGACATCATGTATCGTCTGAACTGGGATTGTCTGTGCTATTTGCAGTGGTATCTTTACCTGTCCCATAGTGGCTTGGCTTGAACAGGTGGTCTTTTATTTGCATTTAATTGTTGTCTACTCTGAAGTTGTTCAAAATATAACTTAAAAGTCAAATAATGTGAATTTGGTACATTTATATGAAAACAAAATGAAAATTTAAACTGTGTTTCAAGGTTTTTTGATGCACTGCTGAAAAGTTTATAGATATTGGCATAAAGTCAGGAGGGGAGAGATAATCAGGATCTGGAATTCTGTGGGGGAAAGAAAGCATTCATTAAAGAGGCTGAGATTTTAAAGATAGGTGAGATCTGGATAGGCAGAGAAAGTGGGCCAGAATTTCAAATTAAGGTAGTGCAATATGGGTGGCAGGTGCCTGTAGTTCCTTCTAGCTACTTGGGAGGCTGAAGTGGGAGGATCCCTGGCACCCAGGAGTTTGAGGTTGCTGTGAGCTATGATGGTGCTACTGTACTCTAGCCTGGGTGACAGAGTAAGACTCCTCTCTCTCTCTCTCACACACACACATACAAATAAAAATAAAAATTAACAAAAGAGAATTTCAAATGAAGAAGCTTACATGAATGAAGCAATCACAGGAAAGCTGGAGCACAGTCTAGAATGACTTGGATGGAGGCAATTGTGTGTATAAGGATGTAAGGCTGAGAATAGGGTTGCTGAGATTGTGGTGCATCCTGCCTGCTGGGTTATGGATTTTAGACACATATATGTAGGCAACTGTGAGCCCTTGGTTAAATGCAGGATGGTGCAATTCAAAGCGCTTGAGAAACATAAATATGTCAGTGCCACACAAGATGGACAAGTTAAAAAACTGCAGAGAAAGAGAATGTTAGGAGATAAAAGAAAACAGGAATCAGAACTGGGATGGTAGCAAAAGAACAGCCAAGAGAAGATGGAATTCTAAAGGCACAACAAAGAATCGACAGAACTTAATACAGAGCAGTTGGGAAGAATTCACCAATGCTTTATTCTTTCTACCTATAACCTGGGGACCGAAGATTTTCTTAAAGTTAAGGCCATATATAAAGTTAACTAATAATATATTCTTTTCAGTGGAAAAAGGTACGTTTTTATTAAGCCATCTCTGAATATACATGGAAGGAAAAAATCCTTCAGTTGCATTGCTGAAGTTTACTTCACGAGGAAATTATCCATTGAAAAAAAGTTTCCCTCAAGATCATTCTAGATAGACCTTGGAAAAGAAGAAAATGATGTAAGTTGTTTGATTTCTACATGCCTCAAATTACTCTTTTGGGAAATAGGGATAACAATAAGGAGAATACCCCAGGGCTGCTGAGAATCAAGTGAATCAATACATGGTAAGTGTCAGACTTAGTGTCTCTGTAAGTGTTGGCTTCCCTCCTCCTCCTTATTTTCAATGCATCTGAAGTAACCCTTTTTTGAAAACCTAGAGCTGTTGCTGTATACCAACATGGCCCTATCCTCTCCAAACTATAGTTTGCCATAGTTTAGACCATGTCTCCTACACTTCAATGCTTTATTCGCTTGACTTCTGTGGCGACCATAGTGGAAACCCAAATACGGTTACATCAGCCATCTGTTCTTGCATGTTAAAGTCTTTAACATCTTAATCAGAGTGACTTTAAATTCTCCATCCATTCATCCCAATACCTGTGTCATATGTTCTGTGCTATGTCTTGTTCTGATGCTTGCTTCGTCTCTTCATCTAAGGAACTAATGGGCTTTTGGTGTGAAGTTTGATGTTAATTTGTCTAAGAGTTGGGATGTTTAGTGTTTTCTGTAGCTGTAAGTGTCAGAGGCTTCAGATTCCTCCAAAGTCCTTGTTTTTGGCTCTCCTTGTTGACTGTGGTCTTGCTAAACACTGCTCCTTAGAGAGAATCTGTGTTTTGTGGCTCTTTCAGCTATAATCCATTGATATTATGCTGAAGCCCTGTTGGTGCAGTAGTAAATTGCAGGGAAGGGGAAGTGTTCTACAATCGTAGGATGCAATTTCAGGTTTCAGTGGCTTATGTCTCTGGACAAGGAACTTTACAAGTGGTTTTTTTTTTGTTGTTGTTGTTGGCTTTTTTTTGCCTTACTTTCCTATCATTGGAGAGACAGAAGGCCTAGATGGGGTTGGAGTGGGAGAAGTGCTCTTGGCCCAGATAAGGATATGGTAAGATCTTTTTCATTGGAGAGTAGGTCTTTGTTGTAGAGAGTCCTCTATGTATCTCATAATGGTTACTTTTCCCCATTCCTACAAGAACCCCAAGATGATCTTTCTCAGTTTTCCTCCTTGAAAACCTAGAGGGATCCTCAAAGGTAAAACTCATAAAAGTGTGGAGGCCCACCTGACTGTGAGCCCAGGAATTTCCCCTCTCACATCAGTCCACACTGAGCCTCCAGCAATTCCACTTTACCAATCTGAAGTTACCATTTAAGTGATCCTACCAGTTTATGGCTCCAGTATCTTCTGCTATAGATCAATAGAGCTCAGCTCTAACTCTGAATCTGTCTGTTTCTCCACATTGTGTGTGTGGAGATGGTTTGCCTTGTGACTTTAGTTCTTTAATGAGTCCAAGAAAAGTTGTTGATTTTCAGCTTATTCAACTTTATTGATTTTAATAAGTATGATTTCCAATAATTTATATGTGTTCTTCTTTTAAAATATTTTATGATTTTCTTTTCCTTGTTTTCTAAAATTCAACAACTGTTAGATACCTTGGTGTGGGTTTTCAAAATCCATTATGTTAAGTTCTTTAACAAACTCTCTAAATTTTAGTGGGTTTTTTTTTTTTTGTATGTCTGATAATTTTGTTCTTTCGGTGACTTCCCCCCATCCCCCCCCCATTTGGATATTGTTTTCTTTTTCTGTTTGAGTCTATAATTTATCTTTTTAAAACCCTCTTTCATATTTTTTGCCTATTTTCTGGGATATTTCTTTGACTTTGTATTTAATCCTTCTATGAATGGTAGGTTTTGTTGTTGTTGTTACCATATTTTTAATTTTAGAGGACTTTATTTTTGATCACATGAACCTCTTACCTCTGCTTCATTGGACTGTGTCTTAACCCGTGAGAATACTGTAGTTTTTATGAAAAATTTCTTGTTTCCTGCATTATCAATTTTTCCTATGGCTAGTTTTTTGGTGTATGTTTGTTTGTTTATTTTGTCTCTGCTTCCATGTTGGAGACACTCTTCAATTTTAACCCATTTTTATGATACTAAGTGGGGAAACATTGACACAGCCCCTTCATAAATGCACTATGCCTTGTTTTTGTTGGTTTATTTGTTATTTGTTCTACAAGTATCCCTTGAACTTGTGAAAGAAAAGAGAAATCAGGATGGTTAGTGTTTTATTTAAATTACAAAATATAAAGGTGGTAAATGATTTCTCCATAGCCTTGGAGACTGTGGGACAGTCCCTCCTTCCTTCCGCCTTTCTAGAACAGAAGAATGTTGTTGACTGGTTACTTTACGGGACTTTGGGTGATCTTCATTTTAAAGAATCTGCATTAAGAAACTATAATGTGGTAAGACGTAACTTTGGAATCTGTGTCTCCTGATTTACGGATGCAGGAGAGAGATTTCTGGGGCATGCCTGTCGGTGGAGGGCAGTAGGTTATGGACTCAGAGAACACAGTGGTACTGGGAGGATGACTCTAGGGTAGTTATCCGGTATACTACTTCGTTTTTGGTAAATAACTTTGCACCAACTTGTCAAGTTTCACCTCTTAGTGGAGGAAGATCCTAGAAAAAGGTACCAGGCCACCCAGCAGTCAGTCAGGGGCACCGCAGCCTGGTCAGCTGAGCAAATGGAGTTATGGGCCTTAGATTCTGATTTGATAATGGATAAGCTGGCTGGGTTAGTGGGCTGCCGGGCTACCTCTTTGTCCTTGTACACTTTTCAGGCTTGATGAGATACTTAAACAAATAGAATAGGCAACCGCTAGGAGGTACCCGAGCTATGCGTCGGCAGCTCTGGAGAGCAGAAATGGCTAAAAGCGGCTCCCTGGGCCCGGCGGGTCTGGGAGGGTGGTGCTTTTCCAAGGTCAGGGTTGCGATAAGCTTGTCGGTGGAGCGAGAAGGACTTTTAGGAGCTAAAGGTCTTTTAATCTCAGCCGCGGAGGAGGAGAGCGAGCGGCTAAAGCTTTGTCACATCCCGAGGTCTGCGTGCTTGGGCACCAGCTGCTTGCACATCTGGCCGTAGCAGTGCCTTTGCCTGCAGGGCGGAGGCGAGGCGGAGGACCCGGTGTGCACGCACCTCCTCGTGCGCGCGCTCGCTTGCGCCCGTGAGCGTCTCTGTGTGTGTGTACGCGCGCGCATGAGAGTCGGCTGGAGCCGGGGCTCCAGACCCGCCAATGGGGAGTGGGGGCCCAGTGAGGAATAAATAAATCTCTGCCCGCTTCTGCGCACCTCGCTGCGGGCTCATAACCACCCAGTCTGAGAAAGATGCGGGTGACAGGGGCAGGGTGACAGCCCGGGCACAACAGCCTCGTGTTGAAGGGTCGGAATATCTCCAGTCTCTGGCACACTCTGAGATTTATATGTTTGCATCTTGGAGGAGGGGGGCCATTGCTTTTCATTGTCTGCCTTTATCTGTGAAGAACAAGGGCAGGAGAGAGGGGTGCGCGCTCTGGGTGAGCGTCGCGGCTCCGAACGGGTCGAAGGAGGCAATTTTGCGGGTTGGGGAGGGAGGGGAGACCTTGATTTCCACCAATCCCCGGGCGCGTGTCTGCGAAGTCCGGGGCTCAGCGGAAGGCTGCGGCGCGCCGCTGAATTAACTGATGAGAGCGAGTTCTTTTCTTCTCCGGGAGGGGTGGGGAGCGAGGGTCCTGGCGGGCCAGGCGGCGGAGTGCGGGGCAGGGTAACGGTCCTGGGCCGCCGTGGAAATTTCCAAGGACTTGGTGCGGCGCAGAGAGCGCGCCTGGGGAGGGGGGGTGCCTGGCGGTGCAGCAGCGCGGGAGGAGGCGAAGAGCTAAGGAGCATCGCTCAGAAGGGGACGCCACTGGCCAAATGTCTGGGAGGAAGCCCAGCCTTTGGCCGGACCCTTGCCGAGGACGACCGTGATGTTGCAGAACCGGCGGGAGCGACTCGCCGCCACCGCTCTCTGCTCCTTGGGAGACCCCGGCGCCCGTCTCTGCAGCCAGGGGAAGCGACCATGGCCATAGGTCGTGACTTGCGCCCTGACTGCTTCCCCTAGAAAGAAATCTGTGAAAAAGTTGTATTTTAAAACATCATTGCGCTGACCTTTGGGGCCGTGGCGGCCGAACAAGCGTGCGTACTGTGCGAGCAAGAAAAGCCCAGAGGTGTCTTGTGCATGGGGGGCTGGCGGTGGAGGGACCCGCCGCTGCCACTTCGCCACGCTTTGTGCTGAGGCCCCCGCTCCCGGGACGCCGGGGCTGCGATGAGCCCCTGCGGGTGGGCCCGGCGACACACGTCCAGGGGGGCCATGGCCATACTGGCGTGGAAGTTCCCGCGGACCCGTCTGCCTGTGGGTGCCAGTGCCCTCTGTGTCGTGGTCCTCTGTTGGCTCTACGTTTTCCCCGTCTACCGGCTGCCCAACGAGAAGGAAATCGTGCAGGGGGTGTTGCAACAAGGCACCGCGTGGAGGAGGAACCAGACAGCGGCCGCAGCATTCAGGTACTCTTGCCCTCCCGGCTCCTCCCCTCTGGCGTCCTTTCTTCCCCGGGCGCAGAGGACAGGGTCACCGGCGAGGACCGCCTGGCATCCCTTTTACCTAGTCTTTCTTTTCCTATCCTCCGTTTTATGTCATTCGCAATCTAGAGACTTTAGTCAGGGTCCCTTCCTCACCCTTTACCCTAGGAGATGTGCAGACACCTGCTTTGCGCATGGAAAGATTGTACGCTTTTCTTCCCAACCCTGAGTTTAACAATTTGCTGGTATAATCAGTGGGATGGAGAACCCAAGATAACTTAGTGTCTTGCACTTAATTTGTTGGTCTCTGCAGACATTTGAAGCTATAGAGAAGCAGAAGCAGGCAAGAGGCGTCTTCCTTGGGTTAGGCAAGCATTTAGTAACATAAATCACCAATGTGGGAGTGATGGGCAAGTCTTGGGCATTGAAAAACAGGAGCAGAGCCCGCAGCTTTGTGCAGTGTGCCCACCGCAAATACAGAGCTCTTACCGGCATCCTTCTAAGGGACAAGACTATGCAATTTTATGTTGAAATGTCAACAGCTTGCTAATATCTCTTCAATTTACCCACCACGAACTGATTCTTTAGAAGGATGAGTTAGGTGCCCAAGGTCATCACGTTTGATGTGTGGGTGCTGGAATTTTCATCACTTAAAGCTCCAGAGAAGCTCCCCTGGGCATAGGCTGGGATGCCTCTGGAAGATGCCAGTTGTTATTTACATAAGGATTTGAAATCAGACAACAAACAAAAAACAAAAGCCAGGTTGGAGATCAGAACTCGGAAGACCGCTCCGAGGTTGTAGTTTCCCTTCCGGGAATTTTAGATTGTCTAAAAATAAGTTCCAGGCGCAGGGCTTGTGTAGTTAGACTGGAGGGAAGGCAGAGCTGCTTCCTTCCTCTCCGTCTCCCCAGGCGTACGCGGTGCTTCCACCACTGCGAGATGCCCCTGTCACCTTTAGTTCCCGGGACAGAAGATGCTGCAGTTGCCTCTTCCTGTGATTGTAGTGGTCTGGCCGGGCAGTGCTTTCCTCTGCTCAGCTGGTCTTTCCAATCAGAGCAAGGGCAGGTGGGTTCCAACTTAAATATTTTTCACTGTTGTTATTTACAACTGTTCAAAGCGTGTGTATTTTTATAAAAACTTTTAAAACATATGTTTCCCTCCCCTTCCCAGGCCTGCTCTTGGAAAGAAGGTCAAAAAGATAATACAGCTAATTCTCTGAGATGAAAGGAGCAGAATTCTCCCTGGGAGAGAAGGCTTTCCTTCTCTCTTTTTAGAACTCTGCTGTTACTACATTTAAAAATCACCCCACTTCTCCTAAAACTGCATAAGGGTTAATTTTCTCTTTCCTCCCCAGTATTGATCGTTGGACTCAAAAGCAAGCAGAAGGCAAAGCATAGCATCCAATAATTCTTTTCTCTAAAGACAGAAAGCACTTTCATTTCAAGTAATATAAGGAAACGAGTTAAGAACTTTCCATTGGTTTGCGATGAAAGAGTCCTTTTTTTTCATATAAGAGGAAGAATAATCAAGCTCTGTTAGAGAATAGATTTCTTTTTAGAGGGCACATCAAGTGGAAAATGCTTCATAGGCTGAGAAACACAGGCTGATAGTTTCGGAGACACATTTGCTCCTTGCTGTCTGGAGCCTGGAGTAACTGTCAGTGTTTTTGATTGTCATTTGTTCTGGTCTCTATGTGCAGAGAATTACTTATTAAAACTCACACACTATAAAAACTACCTAGACACACAGCTTTCAAAGTTAGGGTCTACGACACTGTTTTAGAGGCATCACTGCTTTTTGAAAAGAGTTTGAGCTTCAGAGGAGAATTCTGCATCTGTACATGGATTGTGCCATGAGTAGATAAATAGAGTGGTTTTGGAGTGATATTATAGCTCTTTGAGTCTTACCTATTTTATTTATGAAATGGGGATAATAACATTTACCTTGCCAAATGTCTGATACATTAGGTACCCAGAAGATTGTTGTTTTATAATTGTTATAATTTCCCATATATGTTACAACTCTAATAAGAACATCTGACCTGCCCCTAAGAATTTGGAATGTTCCACCTGCTGAATTTACAGGGAAACATGATTGGTCCCTACTCCCCTTCCTACCCACATACACTTAAGCTAACACACAGGCGCAAAGAGTTGTGAAAGGCAGGAAAAGTTTTGTGGTTCGTGTTAAGAATTGGTTTTACTCTGTGCATGTAATAAGAGCCATTGCTTTTTAACATCTGAACTGTTAGTAGATTGTTAGGATATGGGCAGTAGTGCATATATGTTAAATATTAGACAAGTCAGCCAGGAAACTTTATTAATGTTAAGTAGGCACAACTTTGGCAAGGAAATATCTGTGTTTCTCCGGTCTGAAACATCTGCACAAATGTGAAGATATGTATACAAATGTACGACGTGTACTAATAGGTGGAGATATGTGCACGTTTATTTATACATCATGGACTGATCTCAGATAGATGTATAAATATGTGTGTATATACATGCATACCCATACTTGCAATCCGACAACGGACAGCATTTAACGAGTGACTACTGTGCACAGCTGTGTGTCAGGGCCTGGGAGATAGCCATGAGTAGGATGGACAGATTGCTTCCTGTAAGAGAGTGTCCCTCCTCCTAGTGGAGGACTGTAAAAACAAACAAATGAATCAATATGATGACTGTTAAGTGCTATGAAGACAAAGGGTGTTATACTATGTTTATAAGCATCAGAATTTCCGAGCTTATTTTGCCCTCTGTGCTTTTATTCACTTTTGTGATTTTCTTCTTTTTTTAGCACAGGCCTTGTCCTGTACTGGTTTCTCAGAGGAGAACCTTGGCAAATTGCATAGGAGATGGCAGCAAGAAAGTAATACAGCTGTAAGAGTTTTGAAT